AAGTTTTACTAAAAAATTAATTGTTTAAGTTTCATCAATGATCAATACGGATATCAATTAGAATATTATATGACCAGGATGGAATTTCGTTTGATGAATGAATTGAATTGAATTTGCAAAGTTAACATTAGATTAGTTCAAGTTGAGCATTTATTAGAGTTTATACAGTGACGTCATTAGGTTTGATAAAGGCAGTTGGTGTGAATGTTCCAGTAGAGCTAGACAAGTTCAAGCTAAGCACTTGTTGCTTTCGAAAAATCTATGAAAATGAAAAATTAAAAAATAGGTTCAGAAATGATCAGCGTCAAAAAACTTAATTTTGTCTGTCGGTTCTCCGTTTTCAGTTTACTGTAGACGTGGCGTTAAATGGACATCACTTTCGAACCGTTTAACATACGCAGTCCGCGGAATACATAAGTGAATTAAAAAGGCCGCTATGGACCTCGGCGACCATCTCCTTTTTTCGATTTTCGATTATTTTTTTGGAAATTCCTATGAAACACGATAAGTGTCCCAAATTTGAGGCTATCGACTTGAAACTTTACACACATATGAAGCTTGGGTTTTCTGACGGAGCATATTGAAATTGGGGGAGCTGGGGGTATTTGTGAAAAATAAAAAATCGCGTTCGCAAGGGTCTTAGACAAAAATTATTTATCAAAAACTGTTTACAAGATCGAAAATATTATTGGACCAGAAGATGCGCAACATCCAGTGCTATAAACTTTTATTCTTGACAATTTTTGAAAATGTACAGGGTGGCCAGGTATTCGTAATAACCTGAAAATTGAGTTACCCTTGTAATGATAATTGACTATAACTAAAAGGCTGTGTTTCAGTAGTCAGTTGCTTTTACATAACCATATACCCCGTACGGACAGCTAAACTTTTGTATTTAAGATTTTTTGCATATTGTACAAGACATTCGGGATATTCAGTGCTATAATAAGAAATGTACTAGGCGTCTTAAATTACAGCTATCGACTTCGAATTTAGGAGATATGTAAAACTCCGTGCCTACATCTATATCGTTTTTGCTAATTTTGAAAAAGTTTATCTGGGCTTACAGAAAAAAAATATTTTCTCGAAAACTTAACTCAAAATTCTTGAACCAGGAACTGTGGAAGATCCAGAACTATAACTTTTATTTCAAGCATGTTTTAGATTATATACAGGATTTTTCAACTATGGACAAAACTCTGCGAGACCCTGAAAATTGTTCTTTACGGGAATAATTATTAGCGGTAAATGAAAATACTTAAAAAATATGGCTAATTGCTTTTTCAGAAAAAAAAATGTTTTCTCGAAAACCATTTATTCTTTACCAGAAATCTGGGCGGTCTACTTCTGGCATTTTTTCAATTATAACGAACCTTAATGGTAATGGGCAAAAGATCTAAGAGACACAGAATATGGCCGTTTTGTTACCCGTAAAGGGAAAACCGTAAAATATGGGAAATTTGGTTTAAATAGTATCCAAAACTATCCAATTACACAGGATGAGCGTGACATTTGATTAAAAATATTATTGTAAGTCGCTATTGCTAGTACAAATTTTCAAATTTTCCAACGTTTGCCCTAATTTTCAATTTCGATGATCGTGAAATTCGCTTGACATAGGGTGTGCGCATATTAAAATAACATTCATTTTGGGAAAGTTAAATAGTGGTGCGCAACGAGCACGATACAAAAACAAAGCGACTATCTAGGACAACAAATACAAAGCCGCTTAGGTTTGCACTGGGTTTGATGAATGATAAAGCTACTTGAAATTACGAAAACTTAGTTGTAAGAAGTTGGAATTAATAATGTATTTATAATAATATATAAAAATATATAATTTCGTGAAAATCTGACATTACTTTTATTAGGGACTTGTGTGGATACGATGCCAATACGCTTGAGTACTAATAAATGCAATTCGAAGAGACCTTTGTTCCGACTCAGAATTTTCGAGAAACGTTACAAACGATCGGCCTGAAACGCGGTCGTTTGTCACGGAAACTTTCGCGGAAACAGATTACGTCAAATATACACGAAGGACAACATTAAAAAGTAAAATTTTCATATCGGGTTCGAAAGTTGAGGCAAACTTGAACTTATCCGCCGCAGCGGCAGTTGTCTAATAGCGCCCCCGGGAAATATACCGACGCTATGAGATTGACGCACATTTTTAAACGACGTATAAACATGTATTCCGGCGTCCAGGGCCGTACCGTGGACCCGAAATATTTTCGGAAATTTTTAATCCTTCGAAAGTGTACTCCCATGGCAGATACGAAAGCTCTCTGCTGAAGATTACAATATAATATGTAATAATATATTATAATTTTGTTGATACAGGGTTTCCGAAAAGTGCGACCCCCCACCCCCCACATCAACTTTATTAATTTAATTTTATCACCCCATATATTTCGACATTTTTAGAATCCTTGGTTAGAATAAAGGTCACTTTTTTAAGAAATTCCTATTCAAATTTTGTACAGTTTAGGCAGAAATTGAGTTTATGTGTTTTTCTTCATATTTTGATTGCCCTATATAAAATTGTGTTGTGACGCTACTGATCTAGGTATTGCACTATGATGCACTACTCAATCAGTTCGACAAATGCGCCTCAGCTTATACAGGGTGTCCCAAATAGATGGTGCCGTTTTGTAGAATTCAATGAACAAAATCTCAAGATTTTCAAATGGAACACACTGTATTTTTATTCAGGTATATTAAATATTGTTTTTGTTGGTATTTTAGCCTCTTCGAGGCTCACTTAATGCTAAGGCTGCACTTTACTATTGGTCAGATAGCATTCATACCTTCCTGAGCAGAATATTGTGGAATTGTAAAGAAAAAACACTAACTTATTTAAAATACATATAAAATATGTACTAACAAAAAAATTGACACCTATGAACTTTTTAAATATAAATGTAATGATTTACACCTGAATGCGTCAAAAAATATGATTGTGATGTCATTTTTAAATATTTTGATATTTTGTTGTTTTGAGAGCCCAAGAAACTTTTGCACGAAACTTCTTTTCGTATCTGCTGTGGGTTTCCACATCGTGGATCGTTTTATTTGGCACACGGTATACATCCTGACTGGGTCGAATAAAAATAAATGTAGGAACTTACAAGCGCTAACTCTCCCGCTTTTGCTTCGAAGTCAACAGAGTCGGACTCGGCGGCACGACAATTTCCAAACTATGCCAGAATTCCTAACCTAGTTTTCCGAAAAAGTGGCGTGCCGTGCGGTTTTGATCGGAAGCGGGATTACTCGGACAAAATCGACACTTATTTGAAAAAATCCACTTTTCGAATCGAGTTTGACTTCCGCGACGAGATCCCGCGAGTACGGACCTGGCGGGCGTCGCCCCGCCGGCTGCCGCGAGGCGTCGAGACGTTTACAAATTCTCCGGCAACTGATTTTGTTAGAGGCAATTTTTAACAACCGCCAGACAAATTGGAGCAGCTTAAGAGTTAATAAATTCATAAGTTTGGCCGTTGTTTCAACACGCGCTTTAAGGAAGAAAAACGCTCGCTGGTTCCTCGAAGGGTTAAGTTTGCAGACATTTTTTTATATATACGACAATGTTTTAACATGCCAAGTGTATCACGGAAGTTTTGACGCGCTCCAAAGAGCTTTATTGATAAAATAACTTTGTTAGAAATCTCTGTCGCCCTTCTTTCTCTTCCATAATAAAAAGTATCTATAGATCTCAACTATCTGGGGAAAATAATTGCTCTGTTTCGATAAATAATATATTCCCAGAACATTTACAGACTTCTTCTTTGTGAAAGTGGCTTACTTCTTTCCATTTCTATTGAAAAATCATTCTAGAGCTGCTTTATTGAGAAAATAATTCTGTTGCGGACATACAATATCCCAACCGTAATAAAAATTATATCTAGAGCTCCCTTTATGGAGAAAATAACGTTTTGCAGCGCTTGCAGCAGAAACTAATCCTAGAGTCCCGTCAAAAAATGGCTTTTATAGGAATCTCTGTTCTAGAGCCTGCTTTATTGAGAAAATAGCTCCATTGCGGACCAACAACATCCCATCCCAATAAAACTTATTTCTAGAGCTCCGTTTATGGAGAAAATAACATTTTGCAGCGCTTGCGGACAAATGGCATCTCTGTTGCAACAAAAACTATTCCCAGAGTCCCTTCTATTGTGAAACAATTTTTTATTATAAATTTATCGATTAAATAACTCTGTTTCTAGAGCTCAATTTATTTCGAAAATGTTCCTTACAAGTAATATCTCTTTAGCAATGCAACGTGTTTCTAAAGTCTTCTTTATTGTGAAAACAACTCTTACGCCAACAATATCTCTGTTTGAATGAACAACATGTCTAGAGTGCCGTTTATTTATTTTCAACTCGTTTTTGCTTATTGGGTATATTGTCTTCTTTATTGCGAAAACAAATTTACCTTTTGAGACATATTTCTAGACCCTTGTTTATTGATAAAAGAACTGCTGTTCCTGCTAGTTCAAAGTAAATAATGAGGAAAAAATATTTTGATGTGTTTTTTCTGCAGATAATCGTTCGAAATTGTTTGTCAAGAATCAAAGCCGATAGCGTGGATGTATTATCTTATCGAAGGAAGGTCAATTTTCTCGGGGACAAGAAGTCCACAACGCCCCGTGTTTACTTTTGGGCTAAATAGATTCCGATAAGGGCGTAATGGCGGGCTTTGTAGTTTCCTCTTCCGCCCACCGCGCACGTGGCGCGCCACGTGTCCGCCTGATCGACCGTCGTCTGTAAAAGGGGCTGCTTAAGGCCCTTTATCGCGATCAGGTTGCGAAATAACCTTTTTTTTGTTCGGGTGCCCGGATTTTTCCAGGGGAGTTGTGTAACATATTGGGACGCGTTGTGCTATCTGGAGCCTCTCTTATAAATCATATTGCTTTTCTTTAGAACATTTGGGATATTGACTATATACAATCTTTGGATATTCTTTTATTAGTTCAATGAACTTTGAAAAAAAAATGACTCACCTGTTTGGTAACGGAATCTATGAGTCTGACGTAGATATCCTGCTCCTGTCGAACACCTGCAATGAGTAAATTTTCGATTAGTATCGACGTCAGTTTTCGCAAATACTTGAAAATGAGCTCTAGTTTTAAATACTGAAAGAATTGCCAGAGGTATAAATTAAACGAAAAGCCAAGGAACAAGGCTGTAGAATTAGACAAATTGGCTGTCATCATCAGTAATCAACATGATTCAAATGTCCATGGGTATTTCCAAACTTCCATACCAGATGGAGTTTGAAGAAGAAGTTATTCAGCTGCAATTGTGTTTATACGGTCGTCAGTAATGAACTGCTATTTTCTGAGAGACTTGTCAAGAGAGATAAACCAGACATCCATAGCAGATGAATCTTCAAGAAGAAAAAGTTATTTGTGGAATGTCATTTTTTTGAGAAACCAAACATGCAGAGCATAGAGTAATAAAATATAAAAAAAAACATTGTTCTCGGAATAATATTTATAAAGTAAGACATATAATAATGAATATATCTCAAAAACAAAATCTAAGGGATCTTTCAGATTTTGTATCCAAAAATTACCCAATATGACTGCTGGCCTAGGAAACTTTAAGTAGTATATGTTATTTCGATTTAAATTGTTTTCCTTGACAACAAGAAACGGTTGTTTTTTGATACAATTAAAAAAAAATACTTTAAGATTTTTTTTTTGAAACACCAAATATTGATATGTTATTTTTTGAGGCACATGTCTTATGTTTAAGAATGAGCTGGTTAATTCTGTTTCTGATTGACGCATAAAAATGTGTTCTTCGATATCATTATTTCTTTTGTTATACGATTCGAATCGGAATTCAGAACAGATAATACTCAGTTCTCTTTCTCGGAGTCGGTATGACGGCCATTCCCGAACGTTAAATCTTGACAAGGGTTTTCCGAATACCTCATTTTCGTCGTCGTGCAAAACGGCGGTGTGTGTTCTCGGCCAAAATCCCCTTTTACTGCCGTGACTCTTCCTAATAAGTACACGCGGTCTGAGGATTGAAATTTTACGGCAAATTAGTACACGAGACCGTGTGCGAGAAGAGACGATAAATTATCGGTCTCCAAGTAAGCGTTATACGTATAGGATTTTGCCGTAAAATACGAGTACACACGTAAGGGCGTTATAGGAGTTGTATTTTATCGGGCCGATCGTGTAACTAACGATCCACCTCGAGGCCGTACGCCCTTGTTTGTAATAAAATAACCCGGGCGATATTCTTTGGTGATATAGAACGCTAAGGGCACGTCGGGGCTTGCTTAATTTCCGTTTTGAGGTTACGAAGACGAAGGATGGGATGAACGCCGCGACTTTTAAAAACTGTTAGGCATAAATATCTGGGCAAACCAAAAATGTCAGGAAATTGAAGACCTGGAGAAGAAGAACAATAACTTTCATCTACATAAAAAAAATGAAGGAGTTTACCAACACTGGAACTAAACGAAATCAAACAAAATTATAGTAGATCAGCAAGAACAACTTGAAGTATGGTGCAAATACATTAAAAAAGTGTTCGATGACAACCGTACAGACAGAAAAACGGAAAAGCTACTGGTCCAGATGGTCTAAACGTAGAATTGATAAAACTTCTTGATGATGAACATCTTACATTATTGCTCAGAATCTTTAACAAAATATACGAGACAGGTAATATTCCCGAAGAATGACTTTTATCACCCTACCCAAGAAGGCAAATGCAAAGCGATGTAATGAATACCGAATTATAAGTCTTATGTGTCACGTGTTAAAGGTATTTTTGAGAATCATACACACCCGAATATGGAGAAGATTGGATGCTAACATTGGCGAAACTCAGTTTGGATTTAGGAACGGCTTCGGGACACGTGAGGCCCTATTCGCAGTACCAGTCTTAACACAGAAATGTCTAGATCAACAGACAACCGCAATAGCTTGCTTCATAGATTACGAAAAAGCTTTTGACAATGTGAAACATGATATCCTATTAACTTATTAATCAAACTGGGACACGATGGCAGAGACATCAATATAATTAAACAGCTGTATTGGAATCAAGAGGCCCAGATAAAGTGTGATAAAACCAAAATTATGAATGGTGTAAGACAGGGATGCGTTCTTTCCTCGCTTCTGTTTAACATATATTCAGAGGCAATTTTCCAGAAGGCTCTGGAAGACATCGAAATTGGAATTAAAATTAATGGGAAAATCCTAATGTAATACTAGCCCACACCATTTAAGATATTCAACAGCTATTAAACAGAGTAAATACTATCAGTCAAAATTACGGACTTAAAATAAACTACAGTAAAACGAAATTCATGGTAATGTCTAAAACTGGTATTAAAAATGCGTCACTGTCAATTAATAACCAACCCATAGAGAGAGTACACCGCTTTAAGTATTTGGGAAGCTGGCTAATGACGAGTGGGTCCTAGATGAAGAAATTAAGACAAGCTATGCTATGCTATGTTTTGATTACCCTTCGTTATGGTGCTGAGAGCTGGACTTTGAAGGTCTCCAGCATGCGAAGGGTCTAAACTTTTGAAATGTGGCTCTTTAGACGGATCCTTAAAATACCATGGACGGATCGTATGACCAACGAAGATGTGCTAAGACGAATGAACAGAGAACGAAGAATTTCTAACCACTGTCAAGAGAAGGAAAGCCTCCTAATACAGCTGATAATGGAAGGAAAGATAGAATGCCAGCGCGGCCTGGGTAGAAAAAGATTTTCATGGTTGAAAAAACTTCGAGATTAGTTCCATGTACGTGATGCCGTAAATCTAATACGCATGACTGAAGATAGCGAGGAATTCCAAAGGATCATTGCCAACCTTCATTAAAATGAAGCAGGCACTAGAAGAAGAAGAAGAAGGTCGGTTTCATTCAAGGACCCAAATTAAAATAATTTCAATTAAGATGCATTGAGATCTACAGGACTCCCTCCATGGTCGAAACTCTGATTACATTACACAGCTTCGATAGTAGTTCCTTCCACATAACAACTGTTTAACAAGAGGACCAGCCTTCATCTGTATTTTTGTTTCCTTGGTGACCTTGGTCGCCTGATAAACATGTTACTTTGCGCTGACTTCTATCTACGGTACCCTATCTTTACATACGTACTCGCTCCTTCCCCTAGAAGAGTCCATGTATGTGTCCTCCATTATATGGAGGTGACTTCTTAGATGGCAGTATCCTGTCAGGACCCTGACTGCCTTATTCCCGATAAATTCTGGCAATACAGAGAGCTGTCTTCTCAGATATTAATTATGATTTTCTATCTTGTTAAGTGCCAAATGTGACTTTGCACCACTAGCTTGGAGAACAGATTTTTTTATCTTTGTTTTTATATTCGGGATTCCACTTCTTCGGTATTTTAGCAGTCGATGTACTAGATTATTTCTGCCCTAATCGGTGGGCATTCTTTCCAGTCTTCCCTGGTTAGGGTTTGAATCCTGCAGCAGTATTTGTATGTAATGACTTCCTTGTGTTTGTTTCTTGCGTCAATTATTTGTGACTGGTCTCCCAATCATCAAATCAGCAGTCCTATCAGCTTCGCCAGTACATTAAAGTACATTAAAACTAACGTGAATGTAACTAACCAAAACTTCTTGACGTATCGCCAATCATCCTGTTGGATTCTTCAAAGTTTCAGTTTCAGAGTTTCAGGGCTTCTTCACTGTTTCAGTTTCAATTTAGCTCTGAAGAAGCCAACAGGATGATTGGCGAAACGTCAGCAAGTTCCAGTCAACAACAAGCAACGCATGAGGAATCCAGAAGTTTTGTTAATAGTATTACAGTAACCTGTGGAAATTTCTTTGAAAAATTAGGTATGTAAACATTGGGAAAACCACGTATAAGAAAAAACACCATTACTATCAAATCATATTTAGTTTTTTAATTTATTATTATTTTTTAATTTATTATTATTTTACTGTTACTTCTTTGTTATATTTTACGTACGTGTGTTTGCGTATTCATACGATCATGGTCACTCATATCAATGGATTTATTAGTTATATAGAGGGAACCTAAAAGATATTTTACCATGATGGGTTTTAGTATATATTAGTATATATTTCGTATCGATCAAGCTATATTACAAATTTATATTTAGGAATAAATACAGATATTGTGAATTTTTGAATTCGACAAATATCCAGTATTAATGGTCACCTTGTCGTTGTCACTTTCTTATATTTCTGGGGCGACTATGTCATATTTATTATCCAGTACTAGAAAATTAATTGAATTGAAGATTTAAACTGTTTCCATTTAATATACAAAATTACTTAAGTGAATTTGTCAAATGGGCATGTCAATAGGCAGTAAAAATAAATTTCTTTAAACAAAACGCCCAGATAGTACCCGAAGCTACTGGATTTACAGTCGAACTTTGGAACTCCGTGTGTTAATGCACCATCTATTCTATAATTTTTTTTGTCACATCCAGGAAATATTTTTGCACATCCATTTAGAAATTTTATTATTATCACTACTAAAGGACATAAAACCGTAGAAATAATTTATCTATGACTTCAAAAATTAACGAAACCGGTACATAAATTTGTATCACATTTTCAAGTAAACCCAGAATAGTAAAAAAATAATATTTTGGATTTGTATTGCCATTTTTGTTAAGTCTATAGCATATAGACATAAACATACATTTTAAATACTATATTGATCATGCTTTTTGTTTTGGTGCGTGAATGCACCACTGTTTCTATCTGTGAAACAAAACTTTGTTATTGCAAGTCTAGACAAATCAGAGCATGTAGAATAAACATCCAACAATTAGCGTGCTGTTTAGTAATAGTGTGTGCCTTTTGCAGTGAACGTTACAGTTCGTAAAATATGGCATTTCCGAGGTATTCGCTTTAAAAGGAATTAGAGGCGGCTATGGAGGAGATCGCGATGGATGAGGACAATAAAATAAATTACTCAAAGAAATCTTGCACCTGCCATAGATGAAGTGCGTTATGATAATTAAGGTCACCTCATGATTGTTCATTCCACTAAAGCCCGAAGAAGATGTAAAATCTGCTACACAATTTACGTTTGAAATTGTGCATTTACATACTTCATGCTTTGTAAAATATCACCAAAAATTAAACCGGGTTTTACCAGGGGTGAGCTCACGCACCATAAAATATTATGAGTTTTTTTGTATCAAATCAGGTTCTATTTGGAAAACAGTCTACTTTCAGTTGTTTTCTGTCGAATATAAACTTTCTTTTGTATATTTATGTATTATATGTTACATCTTATGTGTCCCAAAACATTATTTAATGTTTTTTCCTTTCGTTTACGCACCAGTATTTATTTGTATGTTTCGCGTTTTTTTTTGACAAAATAAATAATTTCAGAGCAAAAAAGTTTTTTTTTTATGCTATATGCTGGGCGCGGTTTGAGAAACCCCAACGCCATATATACACGTCTTTTGAGCTGCACGACGTCCAGACTTACCGTCCGTAGAGAATCGCTAACACAACGAGATTTGACTCCGATCGAAGCGAATTAAAAGGCGATCCCGTATACCAGTTTTCTCGGAATCTTTGGGATTTCACTCGGGCAAAAACACTCGTGGCTACAAGTCGCGAAAGCTCGTCGATCGTCGACTTATATGAATAAAATCCTCGATGGCCAACGACCGATGATCGAGGCGTTGTACACCGTGGCTCGAAACGCAGCTCAATAGACGAAAGAATGTGTATAGTTTGTCTCAATCTTCATCCTGCTGGCTTTTCTCCGCAATTATGGAAGTTACCTGCCGACGGCAATAACACTCGGGTCCGGTAGGTAGGGATGTTCCGATACCATTAAAGTATCGATACCTACTCATTTCGATAGTACTCAAATCTTTTTTTGTTACTGCTCAAATAAATACTCCTAAAGTATCGATACTTACGCATATCGATACTTTTAGCACTTTATTATATTTTTATTTATTTTAAGGAAACTAACAATGAACTTTGAAGGACAATAATTAAAACAAAATTTTCCGTCACGTTAAGCACGTACTTTAAATAAAAAACTCCATGATAACATTGGAATAATAAGCCGATGATTACAATAAATACAATTATTCGTAAGCAATCTCTTGTATGTTTGATAATTTATGTTGGGTTGACAATGAAAAAAAATGAAGGGCGGACGTCTTTCTCGCGTTTGGCTCGGGCTCGGTGGAGTGAAGTCGGACGAGTTCGGCTTGGCTGGCGCCAGACAACGCGTCACCATAGATCAGATAGAGATTACGTTTGTCTGATGCGTTCGTTTTTTTTTTATTGGTGAGGCTGATTCGATTTGATACCAAGTACTTTTGTTTCGATACCGAGTAAGTATCGCAAGATTGATTCGGTATCGATACTTGGTATCGAATCAAGAGTATCGAGTACCTACTCGTATTTACTAGTATGTCCTTTAATGCCTACCTACCGGTAGGCATTAAAGGACAGGGGGGGACTCTCTAAATGTCTAAATATAATCACTATTATAATAGGATTTATGTTGTTTTTTATAGAAATGAACGTGTCCTCGGTTTTTATACTGTGCTGCACTGGCACTTAAAGCAAGCAAGCATGGTCTACTCAGACCATTGATTTTACTTGGTTTTACAATGGATATGGAGGAAGATGTAAAACAGTATGTCCAGCCGGTTCAGAAAAATTATCGCATACATACTGCTTTTTAATTGCCTATGAATTTAGAGCTTTTTTGTAACTGAATTCAAAGTAAATACCATTTTCAAGCAAATATTTCTGGATTTTAGATTGTTTTCAAATCACTTTAAAAACAGTTGCATCCGCGAAGGTGCTTTCGTCTGACAGTTTGGAGTGTAGTCAACCCATCTTTTGGATACAGTGTTGTATTCATCAAAGTAAGGTAAAGATCTGTGGTCTAATCTATATGTATAATTTCTGGAAGGTAACTAAATCCGTGCGTAATCTATGTGATTCAATTGCTACTTGGCTTTTGTCTATTTTGAGGTACTACCATTCTACAAACATCTCTCTAGAGGGTGGTACGACTTGTATTTATGGTATCATCTTCTTCTAGCTAATTTTTCAATTTATGCAAGGTAGGAACAACTTCGCTTTGATAAAGAAAATTTGTTTTCCTTCTTATTAGGTCCTGATCAGTATCGTCCGTACTTCTTGTTGAATAAGTCTTCTACTAATTAAAGTGTCATACAAATTTTTCACAACATGTTTTGCATTATATTCTCGTAAAACAACACTGCCACAAATGGTCAAAACTCAAGAAATATATCAAAAAGAAAGAAATATAGCTGGCCCACCCCTGACTTGTCACTGAAATAAGAAGATTTTTTTTGTTAATTGTTAAAGTTTTATTTTAGTTACACGATGAAGATTGAGGCAGACTATATTTGCAAAGGGAATTTCGAAAAAATTTTCAGTTTCACGATGCCAAGAAATCTTGCAGAATTTTCTCATATTTCGAAACCAGTACTCTAGCTTCCTTGCTATTCCGCACCTTAATTTTTAAAAAAAGAAAAGTCATTTGGCGTATGATGGTTGTATGTTTTCTCTCCTTTTTTAATTTAATTTTGGGATTTCTATTTTTTATTTTTTATATTTAACAAAAGTTCACTGCAAAGCACTTTGACGCTGCCGCTTGTATCAGTCTTTCTTTTGGTTGGTGATTTTTGTAGATAAAACCATGATCTCTGCTAATTTTCCATCTTTCTTTTACTGTATATTTCTTATGAATGTTTTTAATTGTTGCTCCTGGAAGCTCACCATCATTCTTTTCCGGAAATTTCAAAATAATTTCCTCCTAATTCGCTTATTTTTTATATTTAACAAAAGTTCATTGCAAAGCAGTTTGACGCTGCCGCTTGTATCAGTCTTTCTTTTGGTTGGTGTTTTTTGTAGATAAAACCATGATCTCTGCTAATTTTCCACCTTTTTTTTTACTGCATATTTTTTATGAATGTTTTTAATTGTTGCTCCTGGAAGCTCACCATCATTCTTTTTCGGAAATTTCAATATCATTTTTTGTTAAATCGTACCTCTTACGACCAAACTGCTTCGTTGAAATTCACTTATCTTATGTGTTAAAAAAAAGTTCTCTGCATGACAATTGGATGCTGCTAATCGTTGCTGCAACTAGTTCCTGCAACTCCAGCTAGGTTCATTTCCACTCTTTAGTTGGTTCGTTCTTTTTTTGTAAATTTTCTTTCTTGTTGCAGATTATAGTTCGTTTTTTTATGAGTGTGCGCTAGTCTGTCCAGCTTTCAAGCACACTTTTTCGAAAAATTTTAAACCATTTTTGTTAGACGGCCAAAATGCTTCCTCCAAATTAGGTCATTTTTTAGGTTTAGCAAAAGGTTTATTTATAGCAATTTGATACTGCCATTCTTTGGCATTATGAGAAAACTTTGAATTTGCTTGTAACCTTTCTCCTTCAGAGACACAGGGTATACGTTTCCGTAAGGTATAACAAGCAGAGAACGAGGATGGTAGTCTTGAATGCAATTAATTAATTATTTTGAACCGTACGCTCTATCAATTGTCAATTACCTCTTGGCGGTCGACGGCGAACTGCCCAATACCTTTTCGGGTCGGACTCGAATCGCGAATTCCGGAAAAAAACCACCGCCGCATTTACACTTTGACGGGAGTTTGGACGTATATGGAGTGGGTACGCGCCGAGAATTGTAAATAGATCAGCGCGGTACTCTTTTGCGAGGCTAATTGGTCGCATTTGTAATACGCGTGGTCAATCCCGGCCGTATGTTCGAGAAGACTTGCCCGCGAAGGAATCGTGCAGAGATTATCCCACTTCTGATTGCATCGACCGAGTAGAGAAAATGGGATGGAGGGTTTTTCGATAGCGACGAGATCCGTTGGAGATGAAATCGGTAAAGGTAAATGATATATGAGACTGGTATTTCTCAAGGCACCCACGAAGGTGCTAGAATATAATAATAATAATAATAATAAATTGCCTTTATTGTTGTATATTGTTATATACAAATATACAGTAGAGAGAGGCGAAGTCTAGCAAAACCTATTCCACGTAACCTCTTAAATGATTAAATTGGAAGAAGAAGTAGTCACATTAGTTTGATTAGTACAGATTGCATCCAACAAATTTTGAGAATTCTGAGTTCGACCGGTGGGTTCAGAAATTAATAGAGAACAAGTATTAATTAAGTTAGCAGTAAGTTGATCTATTTTAAGATCGCCCGTTATAATAATGTGATCATATTGTATTGATCACAAAAGTATTTACACTGCATGCATTTGTTCTATAAATAGTACCACTTAGTATCAGTAGCTTATTAATTTTCAGATGAATCCAAAGATGTTAGTGATTGATAAAAAAAGAGGGTAGTTGATAAGCTTAAGTGAAATCAGTATTTTCCTCTATTTAAGAACGATTGCCAAGTGAAAGGCGACATATGTTTGTGGTTCGACTTACCGTTTGCGAACAAGAGCTGTAGCCTGTACTGGATACCGTTGTTAGTCTTCTGTCCATCAGCTTCCTGGAAATAAAGAACAAACAATCAATAGGTATGCAACAAAGAGGCTGCTTTGCATGTTTTTCCGACTTCCTTATATATCTAAAAGGAATACAAAATTTTTAGAACATTGCTACAACTTTTTTTTAATTTATTTTCAAGAAGGTAAAATTTAACATCAAAACCTTAATTTATATATATATATATATATATATATATATATATATATATATATATATATATATATATATATATATATATATATATATATATATATATATAATTGCTTTTGATTAAGTAGCTGAAAAAGAATGTTTTTAGTTGCTTCATGTTCAGCAACTATGAAATATATATTTTTAGCTAGAAAAGTATACCAAAACATATATTATCTTTTTTTTTTAATTTGACTCTCCCGTATATCGAAAATCGAACCTCTTAACTTAAAAAAAAACGTTTAAAAACCATCTCCCCCTACGACGGTAAAATCGTCTCGTTTATGAATCGCTAATACATCAAACGTTCGAAAAATCAACAAAACAATCAACGAACAAAGAGTGGGGAGTATCGGCAGCTAAATACAGTCATCGATAACGCTGTGCAAAGCGTACGGCCCTTTTATCCGGTGAGATTTATAGAGATTCATTATCGCTTACAAAGCGCTCCGTTGTTTCCGGTAGCTGATAAAGGGCCGTTTACGTATTTTCGACTACAAAAACGGCATCGTAATTAACGTCCGACTGGTCCCCCGTTCCGTTTTACGAAAGTATCGAGAAGAAATTCCAACCGCCAGAATGAACCAGCCATTAGTAAAAATCGGACTAAGGTGGCTTTTACTTGATGAAAATCCATTTGACTCAAGTTAAATTAGAATTCCACTTTCTACAGCAAATTTTGAAAAAGAATTAAATATTGAGTAAGATCACGTCAGGTGGACCCCCCCATTTACCACTTAATCATCAAAAAATTAATCTATATCTATTTTTTATAAGTACTTATGATGGAAAATTGATCCCTCAAACAATTTTTTAAAATTTTTATTTTAACAACAAAATTTTTCGACGATAACTTTAGAACGGTTTGAGCTACACGCTTGAAATTTTGCTCCTTTTTAACCGTATATGCGGTGCATAAGAGATATAAAAATGGCTGCGGCGTCCATCTTTTTTTTTTCGATTTTCGACTTTTTTGTCCGCAATTTGAAGCTATCGACTTCAAATTTGGCAGACAAATAGCGGAACCTATTGAAATCGGGGAGTTTGGGGGTTCGATAAGTATTTAAAAAAAAATTAAAACTGCAATTGTTTAAGGAAAGGATCATTTCTCGAAAACTTTTATTCTTGACAATTTTTCAAATTAAATTAAAAAGAATTATTGAAAATTGGAGATGACTCCATCTCGCATACATAGCTAAAACTTTTGTATTTAAGGTTTTCACCTATTGTACAGGGTGTTCGTGTGCAATAATAAAAAACGGAATAGGTGCAGTAAATTTACAGCTACCGACTTCAAATTTGCCAGAGAAGTATAAGTTCAGACACACATTTAAACTATTAAAAAACTTTTTTTTTTGGTAATTTTGGCTTCCAGAAGAAAAACACGTTTTTCGACAAAATTCTTTAACTGACAGAATGCTGTAACACTTATTTCAAGCCTTTTTTCGATTATATACAGTGTCATAGGCCGAAAGAGCTACAATTTTTGTAATTGCGTTTTTCGTCTATCACACACACTGCTCGAGAAATTTAAAAAATCCACATGAAAATCACTATTCTGGGGGCTGTCAAGACGCGATGACGTCATTGATTATTACGGAGCACTGCATGATTTCAGAAAAATCTTATTTTCTCGATAACCATTTACTATTTCAGAAAAATTCTTGGACCAGCAAACGTGGAAGATCCTGAGTTATAACCTCAATTTCCGGATTTTTTTCAAATATGTACAGAGTGTGTCGATTATGGTAAAAAATCTAAAAGACCCTGAAAATTCCAATTTTCGTGGATAAATCATTAGCCGCAATTGAAAAACTATAAAACATGGGACAAATCGAGAGGGAGAGAGAGAGAGAGAGTTTCAAGTTTCGTCTATCATACAGGGTGCGCGAGATACTTGGAATGATATAATTGGAAACCGTTATTACTTGTAGAATTTTTTATATTTATCAGTTTGTTGTGACTTTGAACTTCGGCGATAAGTAAGAAACGCTTTATACAGGGTGTGTGCACAATAAAATTACATACACTATAGAAAAACGACGCGTTCCTTTACCACAGGAAACCTCGAAGCTGCTTCGCGCTAGGCGCTACGAACTTGCCCCGCCCAGTGACTATTTTCCGAAGCAATCTTGTTGCATAAGTCCTCTATTGATTAAAGTTTCATACACATTTATTTTTTACAACCTGTTGTGTATCAAGCTACAAATGATTTCGACGCTACAATGTTAAATTCTGGTAAAATAACACTGCTAGGAATAGTCAATACTCGAGAAATATATCAGAAAGAAAGAAATATATCTGGCCCACCAATACCTTGTTACTTAGGTAAGAATAAATTATTTATTAATGGCTTTTTCCAACCACAATAGGTAATAATGTCGTTAATATTGGGAAGAATCCGTCAAAAGCCAACACGATGAAAATTGAGACAGACTATACCTGCCCAGAAACTAAGAAGCAACAAAAGAAGATCACCTGCGATATTAGATCAGACTGAGTCTTTTTTTCATTCAAATTCAGTCTCTATTCATAAGTTAGTTTCAAGAAACGCGCGAACTCTCATTTTCGCGTCATTTTCCACGGGAACGGATTGACATCAATAAATTGACCTGTCTCCTTTAACTCTGACGTTAGAGAACCTCTATTTCAGCGTCCGATAGTTCCCCAACCGATACACCCCTGAAGCCGTTACGTTTCACGCGTCCGCATAAAGAAAAATAATACCCAACGAGTGAGGAAAAAAAAAAGAAAACGGAAAACATCGTTTAGGTACACAATTTCCATGAAAGATACAGGTTTTAAAATGGACCCAAGTGACGGGGAGGGCGCCCTCTCCGCGGGGGTTGCCAAGGCAACGCCGCCACGTTTACCAAGTGCACAATGGCAGAGAGAAAGTGAGGCGAGCAAATATAAGCGCGGCGGCGCGCCCGGGGGCAGCGCGGGGGCGGCGGTGGCGGCGGCGGTCGCCTACGGGGGCGGTTAATTGCGTTTTCGGCCGGACATTTATCATAAAAGGGTTACGGGACGTCGTAGTTTTGGCAACGCCGAAAATCACGAGGGGCGACAGTGCGAAAGGAAATAATAATGCGAAGCCGGTCCCGGGTGGGTTCCCTGGGGCACACCGTACCGGGCGGTTTTAGTTTTCTGATTTTTGATAATAATGGTGGAGCAAAAGCAGCAAAAAATGGAAACACGATTGCTTTCGAAAAATCGTCGCTGGGCGAGCAAGTTCGTAGCCCGTAGGGTGAAGCAGCTTTTAATTTTCGCGGTTTCATGTGCTGGAGGGACGCATTGTTTTTCTATCGTGCTCCTGCGGACCACTATGGAACTTTCTCAAAATCGATGTAATTTGATTGCGTATGCACCCTGTATAAAGTGTCTTTCACGTCTCGCCTAACTTCAAAGTTACGGCAAGCTTTGGTAGATTTGTAATGGCAATGGTATTTTATCAAATATTTTGCGCACCCTGTATAATTGATGAAATCCGAAACTCCATGTCGATACAGTTTACGATACTGTTCAAATCAAATTATCGCATCTTTAGTAGCTTTTTACTTATCCCCAATAATGTACCAACAAAAACGGAAATTTTTTGGGATGTTTTAGATTTTTTGACTATAAATGGCAAACTCTGTATATAATTCAAACAAATGTTCCCAATAACCCTGGATCTCCCACGTTTCCTGGTATATGATTGTTTTCTGAAACGATGCAGTACGTGGTAATAATAAATGACGTCATCGCGTTTAGATTGAGAGCGAGAGATAATGATTTTCATATTGATTTACATACAAAATACAAATACAAAAATTGTAGCCCTTGGTGCCGCCTATTACACTGTTTAAACCGATTAATTAATTAATTTTTTACGAATTTTGATTTACGGTTAATAAGTTTTTATATTAAAAACCAATTTTCATGGTCTTCTAGATTTTTGTCCACAAATTCCTAAATGAAAGTTGTAGTCCTCGACCTTCTGCGTTTTACGGTTCAAGAATTTTGCCGATCGGTTTAATATTTTTCGAGATATGAATTTTTTTGTACAGCCCAAAAACTTTTATAATTTGCATGCGGGGTGGACTTCTACTAACGTGGCAAATTTGAAGTCAATAGTTGAAAATTCCGGGCACTTGCACCACTTTAAATACTATATAGCTCTCTCTATGGGCTAAACCGCCGACTAGGTACCACTATTCCACTTACAGTCAATTTTCCTTCCGAAGGTAACTCAATTTTCAGATTTTTGGTAATACCGGCACACCCTGTATATTTTTAAAAAAATGTGATGAATAAAAGTTTATAGGAGTCATTATTCTGCGTCTTTTCGTTCAAGAATTTTTTCTATCCGATGAACGATTTTCGAGAAATAGTCACTTTTTGGTTTTTGAACAAAAAAAAACTTTTGGAATTTTAAAAAATACTCCCCATTAACCGATCCCTCTCAATTTTTTATTTTTGCAAAATTTCAAATTGATAGTTTCAAATTTCGGACACTTATCTTTCATAGCAAAGTTCAAAAAACAGTCGAAAATGGAAAAAAAAGATGGACGCCAAGGTCCGATCGCAGCCATATTTAGTATATTGTGCGTATTGTGGGCGGTAAAAAAGGAGACAAATTTCAATCCCCTACCTAAATCCGTTCGAAAGTTATGGAGATAAATGTGTTCGGTGTGCAGAGAACGGAGAACGGACAGACTGTGCGAATGACGATCTCCTAGGACCAACCGTTACCGACATCTGGAGTTTAGTGAGGAGCGCGTATGCTTTCGAAAATAATCGATTTGTAACTGCTGAAGTGATTTTTACCTGATCTTTCTCGATGAAGCCGATAAAGGCGGTCCTTTCGATTTCTACGGGCTGACCGGCCCTGTCATAAAGGGCGATGACGAAGTGGAAAAAGTTGGACTTCCTCAGGTTCGAGGGGGGCTGCTTCTCGAAATGGGCCCTCCCCACCGTCGAGCTGAAACAAAAACGACCACATAATTATACTGATTAAAATTACTGTCATTAAAATTTTCTTAAAGTATTTTTTTTCACTAGTGTGATTTGGTGCGAGTGTTTAATAGCACATTCAAAGATTTGGGATAAAACAAAATCTATTAAGAGATGTTCATACAATTAAAACATGTTCTGTCTGAACATATAGGTTGGAACGTAGAAGTGGATGTATTATGATTGTTTTTAACATTCATAACATAATCAGGGTTAAAGAACATTGTTCTAAGGGTTTTAAATACCTTCTCATCATATAATAGGTTGCCTCAACATACAATACTATAGTTCAGGCAAAATAAAATATAAGTAAAAGATCTATGAAAACCGATTTTCGTTATCTCCACATCACATTGCAAGAGTTACACAATTTTTTATAAATATACTTGAGAATCAAAATAGACGCCTAGAAATTCAACTACACTACCCTGACGAAGGCACTTATTATATAATAATAATATATAATAAACACATTTAATGCTATGTCATCTAAAAAAATAGATAGATATCGATAGATAGATTATTATTTCACTGAATTACAATATATGGTATGTTTACAGCACCTCTAACTACAAAAGAGAAAAAACAAAAACTATATACATACATGTACATATACGATTCGATAAAGTCTACAATAATAAAAGGTATAACAGCATAAAACATAACATATAAAACCAAACAGGAATAACAATGAAAAAAAAGGAAGATACCGAACACAACCAAACAGTGGCCACTATCAAAAATGGGTTAATCGGGTAATATCTTTTATCTTCTGTTTATATTCCTCTAAAGACTAAAAACAATGTTCCAAAAAAAAGATTTTGCTTTGGTTTTCAAATTTTTAAATATCAAATTTGTCACTTGATTTTGAATTAAGTTGTATAAACTTAGGTGAAGAGAATTTTTTATGCTTTTAGCGTATTTAAACTTCTTTTTATAATACATTAATCATTAAATATAGTATTCAATTAAAAGAGAAGTCGTAGGTATTGAGTTCCAAGAAGATATTGTTTATAGCGGTTTTCAAAAGTTCTGGTTTATATTGTTAAATCGTAAGATTATTTATTGCATGTGCAACATTATAAGAAAATGATTTTTTAAACATTTCTTTTCCATTTTGTGTTATTCTCAATAAATAAACTTTCTCTTAGATTCAAGTCAAGAACATCATCTGTACGAAAAGTGATTTTGTTACAAAGATATTCAGGAGATTTATACTCAATTTAAAATAGAATGTAGCACGGTGAAACCTAAACCTATACCACATGTTAAGCCAACCCGAAACAGCCAAGTAAGGAGAAATATGATCTTGATTTTGATCAGATTCACAAAGCGTTTTCTTTGTAAAAATTAGAAGAAAACATGAATGAATTTTAACTATTCTCAATTTGTTTGTAATGTGATCCTTGAAGCGCAGCCTAGAGCCCAAGATCAATCCTAGACTTTTCGATGTCCGAGTATGGGATAGGAGTGTCATAAATTTTTATGATAATTTTGTTTTTGACATTATTTACCTGGGAGTCATTTCCAAAAATCAACATTTAACTGCAGTAAATGATCGAATGCAATTTTATAAAAGTTCTTTAAATCAGTTTTCATTTTAATCTCAGACAAAGTTAAAATTGTATACAACAAGGGACCCAATATGCTACCTTGTGGTACTCCTAACTCAACGGAGAGTGGTTCAGAATACACATTGTCGCAGAACACCTGTTGAACTCTATCGGATAAAAACGAATTTAAAAACACGCGTACATTTTCAATAAAACTGAAATGAGAAATTTATGATTGATCGTGTCTTGCTTAAGTGTTACAAAATTTGGGTGCCAATTCTGCCTTAAATCCATCTGCAGTAAATCATCAGTAATATCGATCGAAACACTCTTTTAACTATAATCTTTTCTAAACCCAGATTGTTTTGTAGGTAATATATCAAAAAGAGCTAAGAGTTTTCTTATTTCCCTATCAGTTATTTTTTTTTAAACTTTAGAGAGGTAGGAAGGATGCTAATTGCCAAAGTTGCTTAAATTCTGTGGCGTTTTTTACTTTAGGAAGAGGTGTAGGACCTTTTGGAAAATAGGAGTTCAATATACATTCATTTTTGACATGTGTAACAAATCACCTATTGCCTTAAATTTAATATTTTTTATTATGTGAAACATTTCATTTATTATTTTCGACAGAGTTTATAAAAGACACCATCTTCAGAGAAAAGAGTAAGTGCTAGGAAAAAATAGGAAAATATCGTTAACATGCAATAAACCTCGAAGCAGTAAGATTGAGATAAAAGATTTTGAAAATACGCACAAACTCGATATTTTAATACAGGGTGAGCCAGTTAAATTATATGAAACTTTAAAAAATCTAAGACCGACCTTAGATCAGGATATGCGATGCACAAAGCATGCAAGTTGCATGCAGAGAGGTTATATAAAGTTAAAACGGATATATCAACACACAAATGTCCTAATCAGAGGCGTAAAAACACTGATGTGTGACTCGCTGGTCCTTTCACATATATAAGATGTGCGTATGTGTGTGCACTTAATTTATGTAATACAAAAGCGCAATCCGGTCAGTCATACGTTAAAATTCAATGCAAGCAATTGTATTTGTATTTTGACTGGTAAAACTGGTATTTGTATCGCCAGATTCGCTTCAGGACTGACGTTCACAACTTAAAGATTCGATTTAAGGGAACCCTAACGCCCCATGCCCCCTCTCCACAAAACAGAATTATGTAAACGGTCTCTCTCCTACCAGATTTCAAAAATACTTAATAAATTGCATCTTGAAGTTAAAGAATCAGTTTCAAAACAAAAATTTAAGAAAAAAGTGTTCAGAACAATGAAATTTCTTATTTTCCATATGTTTGTATAATTATTGAATAATTGTCTACTGCCGCCAGATTATTATTTTAGTTATTATCATTGGTTTTTCATGTTATTATAATTTCTTTTTTGAATTTGTTAAAACTTCTTCGTGATTGGGTTAGATGTAAGAACTGACTTATTATTATTATTTAAAATAAACATGTCTGTATAGCGAATATATGCTGCACTTTTTTCTAGTACCATGGGTCAATTTCTGCAAAACAGCACTGGGTATTTTAGAGTAGGGAATAGAAAAAGGGATTTTTAAAAGCATCGAATAAAAGCACATTTAAAAACCGTATTTAAAAATTTAAATTAAAATTTCGTCGATTGGATGAGCAAAAATGTATGTATGACAAAAGGCTGCCAAATTCATAGTTTTTCCGAGTAGCTTCCAAAATTTGAAGTTTTCTTTTGGATTTTTGTTTTGACAATAACCGGTTTACGGGCGTAGCCGAAAATATAGAAAAAGATGACGGAGATCGCAGATAGGTGGCGTTAAATTCGACTATATAGCGTAATTGCTTGATTTCATGCGATAAGTTCCTATGCAATTACATACATCAGGAATACATCAGGTGAGTAGCGGGTGGGAGTGGGGGTGAATGGGGTCCACATATTAATAATCCAGATACTCGCCCGCGGTCTCGGTAATTCAGAAATGGTTGTTTTTTTTTTCGCTTTCGCGCCATCCCCTTCCCCCTCGAACCGGGCACGTCGACAATGCGATCACACAATTTCCGAGATTTGAGATAAAATTACGAATTGAGCGTTATCGTTTGACCATATGCGCCCGAAAAGACCATAAAGGGTTGGCGAGGGGGCTCGTCGCCATTGTCCCCGCCGCACTGGCCCTTTACTGCCCGAAGTGACATTTAAAGCTCTATTAGGGGTTTGCCCCGGGCGTTCGCTAGGTTCCCGCTCGCTGTCGTATACCGTTTTGCCACGAATTTCCCGGCGTTGCCGTCACCCACCATAAATAACACGTGGAAATCGAATGCAAAAGCTATGGAGGTGCTAGAAATACTATATAACTCCACGGACGGAACAACAATACAAAGATGATATTGCCGTGTGGGCGTCGTAAAAATAATTCTTTCCGAATGCTCCCGGTATCCTACCGATACCGTCAAGGGTAAAAAGTTCGTTTTCGGGGAGGTTAAAGCGTCAGCGTCGACCCGGGAGTTGCGTCCGCAGAGGGTGAATTATACACCGACGCGAAAATTTATAGGACGCCGTTAATGAAGGTGGTAAACGTCCGGGTTGGTTTGTTCCTATTAATTTTACACGCCCGGTGGTTGGGGGGGCTCCAGATTTGGGACCCGAAAAAAAAAGTTGACCGAAGTTAAATCGGGTCCGCCTGGTGGACACAGCTGCCATAAGAGCGATACAAGATGACGTGCATACTTCATTTTTCGTAAAAGGGACACCATTTGGGTAGAAAACACAATTTGTTTCATTTATAAAGGTACCCTCAATAATTTACTCTATAGTCCAAGTCACACATACAGTGTGTGTCTCATACAGATAATATCATTTTAAATACATACAAAGATACAATACAAAGATTAGAATAAAATGTTTTGAACTTGCTTGCACAATAATTAAAAGCTCCATAGTATCAGTGTTTGAGAGCAAGCATATAATGACTGAAATGACTCCGTCTAAATGGCTTAGTACCCTCAAATAGATTTCTCTCCATTAACATGGATTTAAAAAGATTTAGTGCCGCCATATCTAACCAAAACTGCTTAACCCAAAGAAGTGAAAAGCTTAGTTATGATGTTAGATCAAAGAACAATTTCAATATAGATTTCGAGTGGACATCTTGTATCCAAAAACACTAGCTTGGAATAGGTGTTCTCCTCTTTAATTCGCTTCCGAGTGAACTAAAGAAGATTCGTAATATCAAATTGTTTGAATGAAGACTAAAGAAATATTATTTAGAACTGTATTTTATTTATATGTTAATGTTAATATAGCTAAATCTAAACCTAAACCTATCACCAATAGCTCAACATTTTAACGTAAGCAGAATAACCGCTTTTCCATTAACAATAGGTGGGGATAAGAAGATACGTTTGAAAGGAAAGGG